AAAAACATTATCGCTTTTTCTTCACATTTTCTTTCATCACATAGGGCTGTCAATTTGGCTCGTTGTTCGCGAATAATCATTTAAGTTCACATTTTCCTCACATTTTCCTCCACTAGCCAGCCTCTTCAAATTGGGATCCATCTTGATTACAGGTTTCTCAATTTACTTTGAAGAGCTCACGGTGGTACACACATTTTGCTGCTTCTTCTTTCTGGCAAGCTGTTCTTCATGCTTCACCTTCTAAAAGACATCAAGATTGTTCCAAGTGCTCAATGAGAAAAATGAGTCCTGTAATTATAGAGTAATAACTCCAAAAGACCAATGCATTAGAAAAGATGAATAAAAACTGATTAGTCAAAATAGTGTGTTTAAATTGCCAACATTGCCAATTGCAGAACTAGAGCTAGCAATATCGCTTGCATACGTGTTGTAAATTTGCAACATTACATCCTCAACTTGCTTAATTTTAGAGTCTAATTCAAAAGGTGTATACATCTTGCTAAAAGTAAAATGTATGAACTTCATTTTCCAACGAGGATCCAAGACAGCTGCAACAGACATTAGGAGATTGCAATCACCCTAATATTTGTCAAATTTAACTCTCATAGCAAAAGCCGTGTTCCTCATATAATCATCAGCGGATGTCGACTCATCCAACAACAATTTATTTATTTGGAAAACAGCAGGTAAAAAAATATTTGATGTCGGGTAGGAAGAACCTGAAATCATTATTTGTCATGTCAATTAAAACAATAAAATTCATTATATGCATAAAATCGTACAAAAAACACAATTAAGGTTCTGTATAAAGAACCTGAAATCGTTTTTGTCACATTATTAAAAACAACGAGGAATTTTCTGATTTTGTCATATTTCTCCCAATCTAAATCCGAAGGCAACCAACTGAAATTGTTATCTCGATTTGCATAACAAGCAAACACCTGCCGAAAAACAAAAGCAGATTCTAGCATTAGGAATGTAGAGTTCCATCTTGTTGGGACATCGATGCATAAACCTTTTGATGTTGATATCCCTAATTGTCTAGATATTTCAACAAACTTATGTAACCTTCCCGGTGACTTCTTCAGATATTTGATAGACTCTCTAATGTTATAAATGATCATTAATTTCTCTCAAACCAAATTGCACCATAATATTCAAAATATGTGCACAGCAGCGA